TAAAGAGAAAAAGGAAATTTTTCACTTTTTTATATAAGTTTTGACTTTTTAATTTTTTTAATTATTTTTTGACTTTTAAACTAAAGGGCAATGGTCCCTATAGTTTGGAGTTTGTATCATTTTGGTTCGTGACTTTTCAATTGTGACACATTTGACTCTGAATTTTAAATGTTGTTCTAAATAAGGAAAATTGAATATACTATTGGATTTCTCAAGAGCAAAATCGTCAATTTGATAAAATATAAATTAATTTGACAAAAATAAATGTTAAAATTTTTTTTTTGAATTTTTAAAAATTATTTCTACCTACTAAAAATAAAATTAATAAATCTTTTAAACATTTTTTTTTACCAAATTAATTTTTATTATGTATTTGGATGATGATCATGTAAAATTAATTTTTAAAAATTAATCATGTAATTTTTATTAATTTTGATCAATTTTACATAATTTTATTTTTGGTGAATAGAAATAATTTTTAAAAATTTTAAAATATTTTTTTGATATTTATTTTTGTCAAATTAGTTTATATTTTATCAAATTGACAATTTTGCCATTGAAATTAAGCAATGATATGTTAATTGTTCTTATTTAGAATAACATTCAAAATTCAGAGTTAAATGTGTCACAATTAAAAAGTCAAAGACTAAAATGATACAAGTCCTAAACTATAAGAACTGTTAGTATAATTATCATAAACTAAAATAGTAAATCGTCAAACGGGACCGTAGTCTCTAACCCAAACCAAGTATTTTATGACCTCACTTAAATGAGTACCCACCAACCATGTATATGCCATTTAAGCCTTAGCCAAAGGACATGGTCCTCCAACTGTTGACAGATATACATACGGTAGCTAGGGTCCAAATTCACTCATTTATAATCATGGGGTAGGCCATGTCGCTATGTACTGTCTCTCTCTCTCTCTCCTCTGATAAGGTGGGGGGTTGATGGATGATCAGTTAACATCCCAAATATTTATCTTGGTGTTATTATTAGCGATGCTGAACTACAACTGCGCTGATGGGTATGATTGATTAGGATCCCACTTGAGGGAGCACTATTACGGAATTATTTGGTGGTATGATGTTCCGTTTCATTCATCGTGTTATATTTGTCTTGTTAGGGGTCGTTTGGTAATGATTTTTTTAGCTTAGAATTTTTTTATTCATTTGATATTTTTGATTGGCTTTTTGGTTTTGGAATAGTTTTTTTTTTTAGTCTTTTTGTAATTTTTGACTTTTTGTGATTTTTTAACTTTTTTTTTATCATTTTGTGATTTTTTAGCCCCATGAAGAATACCAAATGAGCACTTAAAGATGATGTATTTTGTGTATTTTGATTGTTGAAATTTTTGAAATGTCCTGCGTCATTTTATTTTTTAATATTTTAAATGTGATAATTTAGTTCACAATTTATTAATTTTATCATTAAATAGTCTCCACAATTGATAAAGGAAGTAAAGACGTTTTTGTAAAATCATACTTGCACATCAACCAAAAAAAAAGAAGGTTAAATACATTGTTAGTCTCCAAAGTATATAATCTGTTTCATTTTGATTCTAAATATTTTAATTTTGTCAATTAAGTACTCAAACTTATTTAGTACTCGTTTGGGAAGTTGAGGTTTGTGATTTTTTGGCTAAAATAGTTACAAAAGAACAAAATAGATTTTTTAATCCAATAAGACAAAACATCGCATCCAATCCATAAGAGAAATTATATTTCCACACACCACTCTTTCATCTTTGTGCACATCATATCTCAATTCGCATACTTATCAATTTAATTATATATTATTATTCTCATTCCACACACCATGTGTTTCAATTATAACCCTACCTTAAATATTATATACACACAATCTAAATAGGTTTCCACCCACCTTGAAATACAGCCACACATCCATCCACGATGAAGACCCATCTTCTACCAACTCCATTGAAGACCCATCTTTTAAAAAATTTATATTATAGGCATTGTGTGGGTAAAAATCTGACCACACTGCCCGTTTAGTGATCAGCTGGAGAGCACAGGCAGAATAGATGGCTTTAGCAACCTGTAACAGAAAGAAAAAGCTCCGGCGGTGGTTCTTCCACCCGGGGGCACTCCGACGATCAAGTCAGTATATCTCTCAAAGATAATCAAGTGCTAAACTGAATACTCAAAACATAAATTACATACCTTAGACCCACGGGGGTGCCTCTCTTTTATAATATACTCAATCCAAGTCCCACTAGAAGTATGACTTCTATGAGCTCCAATTTACTGTTTACTCTGGACTCTATAAGAGATAAAGATAAAACTCCCTAAGAGCTTTATCCTTATCTTGGTTAAGTCCCCTCTTTGCCTTAGGACTCTTGTCCCTTATCTGCTTATCTCGGATTCTGATATCTTCGAGGATAACCTCGGCAACTCCGAGATCATCTCGGCTTAATTACCAGGACACGTGGCACCTCGGCTGACACGTCGGCGTCACCATGCCACGTGTTGGTATTCAGAAAATACATCCCCACAGGCATTGAATAATCTAATCCTGAAATTAATGTCGACGGAATACGAAATCAAGTTCTTTACTATGCTCTGATTTTGCAGTTGCTTTATTTGTTTTTTTATTTTCTATTTTTTTTGGGTAGGAAAGAAAGGGAAGATGAGAGAGAGAAAAAAAAGGATTTTATAGTTCGAATTCAAAAATGAATTTGTACATAAGATATGATTGAAATGTGAACTTTACAAGTGAAAGTGTATTGATTCATTGTAAATTTTAGGGATAATTAGTTAGCTTACAACGAAGGGGCAAAAGTGCAACTCTTTCATTACGAAGATCAAGAATAATGGTAGAATCTAATGGAACAAAGGTATAAATAATAGAATAAAGCAATATCAGATTAGTGTAGGCAAACAATGGATAGAGTGTAACAACGAAGCAAAAAATAAAGTGTAACAATGGACTGTAGCAAGTAATGGAAGACAATAGAGCAAGTGAAAAAAAAAATGGAGAAAAGTTTTAGTTTTAGTTTTTTTAAAAGATGTACACTGAGAACTATTGTGTTTTTAAAGATATGTATAAAAAAATTCTAAATTTAATTTGTAGCGTGTGTATTGATGTCTATTATTGTCATTTTATTTTATAGTATAATTGTTATTAAAATAATATTTCATTAAGGCTAAGTTTGGTATCCTTTGAAAAAGTTCAAAAGTCAAAAAGTTACTATCCTATTTAGGTCACATCATTTTATTTAAATCACATCACCTCTCTACCACATCACTTCAAATTCAATTCATATTTCATAAAAAGTCAAAAAGTGCACTTATTTAGAACATTTCAAATAACCCCTAAGTGTGTGTACAGAGGTAAGTAGGTGTATGGAAATAGAATTTCCCAACTCATAATCATTACATTCTTTTTTTCACAAAAAATCAAAAATGTCAAAAAGTCATTTCCAAATGAGACTTTTTAGCCACAGATCAAAATAATCCAAAAGTCAACTTACTTCTCAAACGAAGGCAGTGTCATAACTAGTTTGACAAAAAAACTCTTATTTCTATTATCAATTATAGATGGAAATAAAGGTAGGAATCATTTAACGACAAAATTAATAGCTATTAGCAAAGGATCAAAATAATACAAAACCAGTAATGCTAGAAATAGTAATTAATACCTGGTTGTGTTTGAGAAGGAACCACTTTTTGGATTATTTAGTTATTGTAGTAGGTTATTTTAATTTTTGTGTTTAAGAAGATGAGTTGAATTTTTAAATGAATTGTTATATTGAAAAATATATTTGAAATAATGTTTGGATGAGAATTGACCAAATTACCCTATCCTAATAAAATCTCTTTTTCCCAAATAACAAAATCCTGGCTGATGTGGCATATTCTAGCAGGCAAATTTGTCATTTAATGACCTGTGGTAGCAGTTTGTGAACCACGTGATACTCCCTTCCTTCATTTTTAGGCTTTTTTTATTTTTTTCTTGTTTGAGGCTATTTTGGCCCCTGACATGTTTTCCAAACGTAGCCATTGTACCTAATTGGTGTTACGTTTGACATATTATAAAAGTTAAAAAATTACTTAAAAAATTAAAAAATTACTTAAAAAGTTAAAAAGTTATCATTATTTATCAAAAGTTAAAAATTACGATTTTATAACTTTTAATCTTAATTTTTTTTACATATTAATTTATACAATTTTTTAATATACATTTTTCATAAAAAGTCAAAAAATTAATCCAAACATCTATATTTTTTTCTTAATTTTTTAAGTCTAAAAAGATAAAAAATACATTTATTTAAGACACTCTAGACAACCTGGTTGGTATACTAATTGGCAGTCAAAAAAAGTTGGTATACTAATGACTGTTCTTATCATTATTGATACAAGAAAAATGCTTGAGAGCACTAATTAGTGCTCCCACTAATTAGGTGGCAGTGGGTCCCGCCATTAATGATGTGATGTTTTGGTCTTGGAGTTGTATTTTTTTTTTTTTTTACTTTTTTAATGCATTAGTGCTATTAGTGGTGATGTTTTTAGTGGGATGAATCATTGTTGACAAAAGCGATAAATCTCACTTTTTTTCTAGGAGTACTAAATAATTTTCCTACCATTTTAACAAGACAACCCTATTCAAAGAATTAAGCTTCATTTGCCTATCGCTAAAAAGTCATTTTATACTTGCCCAAAAAAAAAAAAAAAGTCAGTTTATCCATTTTGCAAAAAAACAAAAAAAACATGAAAAAAAAAAAAAAAAAAAAAAAAAAAAAAAAAAAACCAACCTAACTTGACATAGGTGAGCTTATAGGAGCTTTTGGCCCATTACTCAAAATCCAATACATAATTCAAACATTAAAACCCAACACTGCTGAAGTTCAACGTGACATTAAGGACCAATGACATCTAAACACGTGACAAGCGAAGAACCAGTCACATCAGCAGACAAAGATTCTGTAAAATTATTGCACCACACATCAGTCATTAATGAGTTTTTCTGCAGCATTTATTGCGATAACCCTTCACGTCGGAACAAAACAGCCTCACCATGAACAAGGCAAGCTAGGACATAGACTTTTGACCAACATGACGGCTCAGAGTGGACAAGAAAATGATGAGTAATAGATATAAACAGGCTCCTAAGACAAAGAAAATGTTAAGCTTCTCTATCACCAATCTATCTCTACATTCCATTTCTCTCTCTTTCTAATTTGCTCGTCGGAGGGTTCGCTGGGGGACTCTCTGTTCCCGGTTGAACTCTTGTGCAGGTCTCTCCGTGGGCTTGGCATCTCGAGCACCAGTTTGGGAAGCGTAGATCAAACCGACCCGTTCCGTCTGGAACTCACTGTAACATCATAACTCATTTAAGAAATTTATTTCTAATGAAAAACTACACCAAATTAACCGTTAGAATGTCAAAAACGTAGAATAATATATGGTTAAGCTAGTCCCCCCATGGAGCTTAGTTGTTTTATGATTTATTTTTTCATCTTTCAATTAAATTTTTTTTCAAGAAATATGCAGTTTTAGTTTTTCTTTTTCTTTTTCTTTATTAAATGGAGAACATTAGTATACAATATTTTGATCTAAGCAAGGTGATTATGTCCCTAAATTTTGTTTTTTTCTTTAACATACTTTTATTCATTGAATCATGTGAAAATTTCAAAATAAATCAATCTCAAAGTACAATAATAATAAGGAATGTACTAAAATAAAATAATTAAAGTAAATTAAAATAAAAAATAACACCATTCGTTGGTAGTCTAAAAATAGAACCACAAATATATATATATATATATATATGGAAACATACATTATGACTTCACAAAATAATGATTTATGAAAAAATTTAAAATTTTAATTATAAATATTTGTAAAATTTGTCACTGATTTAAAAAAAATTCAAGACAAAAAAAATGTATACTGAATTGTAATTTTCTCAATAGAAATCATTCAAATAGATACTTAAATGCCATGTTTGTTATGCCCCATGAGTGATAGGATTGGAGTGATATTGAAATTAGACATGCGAAAGAATGTTTGGTTCAGAAAATTTATGAGTAGATTATTAGTCCAATCGGATTGACAATACCCCTATACAATCGGATTAACAAAACTGGAGAAGGTATGGGATTGAAAATATAGTGAAGGAATTAAGTGTTATTTTATTATTTTTATTTTTATTTATCCAAATGCAACCTGTTATTTGTATTTAAAATATATATATATATATATTTGTTTTAGATTTTTTTTTAATATAGAAATAATTTTTTTAATTTTATATTAAAATAATTTAACAATCTCATCACCAGTCTTCACTCTCACTATTATCAAAACAAATACTCTTTTACTTAATTCATTCACTAATAATCTCCACATTAATTATCTTCTCACTAACAATCTTTATATTAACAATCTTTTCATTAATCATCCCCTCATTAATAATTATATTCAACCTAATCTATTAAACAAATGTGGCCAAAGAAATTGGGCCTTCGTAAAGTTTTAGGCCTTAATTAACTGGGCCCTGGTGCCCTACGGATATGCGTCACAATCTGTACCACCGAACCCATGGACTTTACGCTGACTTGACCCCATTTTCAAATTTTCTTTTTTGTTTTTAGGGTACAAAAAAATAAAATAAAAAATTCAAAGATTTCATATGTTTTTTAATTTAAACCCTATAGTTTCAATTTTAACAATTAAAATTATGATATTATTTCCGTCTCACAATTTACTCTCTCCATCTAATTCCATTTCACTTTATTTTTACGTCATTGAATTCATCCCATGACCTAATTTTCATTTCATCCCACATACGCCTTGTTTCACCTCTTTTTTACGTGTCGTTAGAGTTCTGAATGTTGGCTAAAAATAAATTTTTTCTCTTTATTTTTTATTTATTTATTTTTTTTACCTTCACCTCCATGCTTCTTCCTTCCTCCTTTTCCATAATTATTCTCTCTTTTCCTCATGTTTCGTGGCCCTTCTACTGAGCTAATGGTGGGAGGTTGTGGTGATGGCAACATTGTCACCGTCAAAGGTTTAGTGGCCACTATGAGCTCGGTGTAAGGACCATAAAGAAAGAAGAAAGAGAGAATAATTGTGAAAAGGAATGAGGAAGGAAAAAAATTGAGAAAAATCTTATTTTTAACCAACTTTCGGAGCGTCTATGGCACGTAAAAAAAGATAGAACAAGGCATATGAAGGATGTAATGAAAATTAGGCCACGGAATGAATCCAATGACTCAAAAATAAAGCAAAACGGAACTACGATGAGTGAGATATAACGACTTGAACATGTAACTTTGAATGTAAAAATTATGCTGCTGAAAATGAAGGTCTCCATTAGTTCATCAATGGAGATGGATGGAGAGAATAAATTGTGACACAAAAGTAATATTAGACCCTAGGATTTAAATTGAAAAACATACAAAATTCTGAATTTTTTTTAAAAATAATTTGCCCTTGTAATCGAAAACAAAAATAATGCAAAATCTAGAAAAACCCAGCACCTTATTTGCACGAGGAAGCACTTTTAAAAATTTGTAAATCAATTTAAAACTATTTCCTAAGAAAAAGTTGTGGTTTCAAAAACATATTCCAAAAAGTTTGCCAAACAAATTTTCTATATCAGTTTTTGTATTCCCAATTTTGAGAACATAGAAAATGAAAACGATACCAAATGTGCATGAACTAAGACCGCGCAAAAACAGAAAAAGGGGCAGGGCGGAACAAATTGTGTGATGTTTTTTTCTTTCAATATTTATGTTTACATTCTTTGCATTTTCCAACAAAAACAAAAACAAAAACAGCCATCATTTTTGTATCAATATTATTTGAGTAAATTACACTGACACCCCCTAAGGTTTGATCCAATTACATTCCATCCCCCAGCGTTTTAAAAATTACATTCGTACCCTTGTGATAAATAATCTTATTTTACAAACCCCTACTTATATAAAAAACAACTCATCGTAAAAAAATAGAGGAAATTATATTATAAAAAAATGGTAAATGAGAGGGAAAAAAAATTAAAAAATATAGAAGTAAAGCAAAGCAAGAAAAAAAAAAAAGTGTATTGAGTTCACTTCTTCATTCTATCTGAATAATTACAATGACAGTAGAGTTAGTGTAATTTTCCAAACGTTAAGGAGTAATATATATTAAACCCAAATCTCAGGAGGTGTAAGTATAATTTACCCAAATTATTTTGTACAAAAATAAATTTTAGAAAGTGTTTCCAAAAAAACTACGATGGTGGTGTTGTGACTGTGAAGTTGTGGTGGTGTAACAAGTGGTGGGGATGGTTTGGTGGAAGAGGTGGTGGAGTGAAAGAAGTGATATCCATTTAAACGGGTTCAAACAAGTACTCATGTTCAACTTATTTAAACTCAATTTTATTAAAGTTGGCAAAATATAACCAATTTAAACTCATTTATAAATTAGATGAGCTTAGAAGGCGTTTTAAACGGAGGTAATTGGCCGAAGTCATGATTATCCGGTTTGGTTTGCAACCTCATTGTCACAAAAGAAGTAAAAGTCTAATTTGAAACTAAATGGAGCCACACCAAACACTTTTTAACCTAAGTAATCAATCACTGCTCACAATATAATTTCAAAAAATAAAAAAATAAAAATTGCAACCATCCAAATGGGAAAGGTCGTGGATGAGCAAAAATTCTCAAGGATAAGCCAAAAGCAGAAACAATTCATTATTGAAATGTTAAAGGAATGGTAACTAGAACCATTTTGATTAATCTCCCAAGATTTCAAAATTCCGCGGAGAGAAAATGAGGAATGAACAAAAATCAATCCACACATACCTTATCGAGCAACTTCTTACAGTCGTCGCTCAATTCCACATTCTCCATCTTCACCCTTCGACGCAGCATTTGGCTTGTCCTGCCAGCTGCTGCATAAATTCTTATCAACGATTCAAACGCCTCTGACCCCAACTCATCCACAGCCTTTTCCAGAATCCCCAGAAACCTTTCTGCACCATCCACATCTTTGTTACGCTCAAAATTTTGCATAAATTTTTTAGTAATCTCCAGTGATGGGATCCATTTCTGACCATCCCCTCTACCAGTAGAAATTGCATTATCAACACACTCAACCGCTGATTTAATCTCCCCATTTCTCAAATAATAATCTAAAAAGATTTCCCAAGTTTTAACATTGGACTTGCCCCCCCTCCTCCGAGCCCGCTCCTTGAACTCTTCAGCCTTCTCTAGCAAACCTTCTCTAGCATATGCTCCTATAAGCACATTCGCAACCCTAATATCATACGTTGAGCACCTAGATTCCCATTCCCGAAAACATTTCTCAGCACCCGGTAAATCTTTTAAGTTAACCAATACCTGAATCATGTTCAGATAGCTTATGTTTGCAGTTTTAGGAAAAGCCAACCTTAAAGAACGCCATACCCTATAAACTTCAAGCAGATTCCCAGTTCGACCGTACAATGTGATCAAGAACTGGAAAGCAGAAAGGTCTCGGCGTGCATTTCTTTTCTCTAATTCCTTCAGTGCCTTCTCTGCCTTCTCAAACAAACCAGCATCAACATAAATTGATGCCAAATTGCTGTAAGTTGTCCAATCTCCTACAACTCGACCATCCCTCTTCATCTCATCAATCACTCTCTCGACCCCAGAAATATCACTGACAGCAGCGAGAGCCCTCATCCAGACATTATACGTGTAGGAATCGGGCATGATATCACAGGCTTTCATTTCTTGGACGATGGTCGGGATCTTTTCTGGCTGGCCAGTTTTTGTATAGAGCGTCATCAAACTGTTGTAAGGCATGGAGGTTAAGCCTAACTTTAGTTCTTTCATCTTTTCCAGTAAAGCCTCGGCTTTTTCAGTCATTAATTCCTTGCAGTAACAGTTTAAAAGAGCACCATAAGTTAGATGGTTCTTTGATGTTTCTGGGAGTTCAATGAAGTAAGTTTCTGCAGCAGCTATGCCTCGAGCTTTAGCAACAAGATCTAGGTGTATGGCTTGATCACTGACTGTCTTGTTCATACCCCTTTCTGCCATAGTTTCTGAAAGCTGCACATCAACAAATTTAGTAATGTACATCTCAGAATAAATTAGAACTGGCAATTCTTCACATTAAATTGTGTCCTAACTGTTAAATTCAAGAAAAGAATCCTAACTTGCATGTGGCAAATTAGAACAAAACTAAAAGCACATCATTATGACTTTACACCATCTTGTATTTGTCCCTCCCATCTTGGCAACTAAAAATACTCCTGAAGTAGTCTCTGATCTGTAAATGCGTTAGCCAAGTTGCCAAAGTTGATTTCATGTTGATTTAACACAGCCAAACATGTGACACAATGTTACACAAAATCAAATAACATCCAGTGAAAATTTCTAAGAGCCCCATCTAATTATATGAACTAGTAAAATAGAGTTCAGTTTTGGCGTGACAGATGGTGTAATGAGGAGACTTTAGCGGTTATGTTTCCTTTCCTTTGATTTTCCACCTTGCTATTGATCCGGACATGATGGTGGCTTCTTATGGGGTTGGTCAAGAGTAGACGACTATATGGAACATTCTTTTGTGGCTTGAGGTGCAAGATCGGGAGGTGGGTCAATTGGTTGATCTTTTGGGTTTCTTGTAAAGGGTGCGGTATGGGGCAGCTGGGGGGAATTCACTGGTGTGGGCCTGTCTGAAGTCCAAAGGGGTTTTTTTGGTAGCGCCTTATTACCGTGAGCTTGTGGGAGGGGCAGCAATGTTGTTTCCTTGAAAGAGTATATGGGTTGCAGGGTCTCCTTCCAAGGTTGCTTTCTTCGTATGGACAGCGGCTTTAGAGAGTATTTTGACTATTGAAAATTTGATCTGGCACTGGCACATTTTGGTTAATTGGTGCTGCATGTGTTGTGGCGATGTTGAGTCGGTGAATCACTTGCTTATCCATTGTTCTGTAGTGGCTAGACTTTGGTCGCTTATTATTGGTTTGTTTGGGTTGGTTTGGGTTCAGCTCAAGTTCGGTTGTGGAAGTTCTTCAGAGCTGGAGGGGGGTGAGGGTTGGGAGGCGTCGATGGAAGGCGTGGTTGCTTTCTGCTTAGTGCTTAATGTGATTGATTTAGTTGGAACGTAATAGTCGAACTTTTTCAGGAGATTTCTCATTCGGTGTCTTGGTTGGAGAATAGATTTTTTTGGTTCTTCACAGTTAGGTCACGGTGTCAGTGGATCCGGATGTGTTGGCTTTTGTAGATTTTGTGGATGATTTGATTTCTTAGTTTTTGGCCTAGTGTGGGCTTTAGTTTTGTATTCTTTACATCATCTTGATACTTTTTAATAATATCTAATTTTATATATGTAAAAAAAAAGATTGTATAAGAAATTAAGTGCATCAGTTCACTCTTGGTCTTGGATGACATTTCCTTACTCAAGCCTATAATTCAATTATTTTCTTTCTAAATTCATTTTTCCAATTAACTCACCCCAGACAGAACATCTAGAAATAAGAACTGCATTGAGTGACCCAGTGCACGAGGTTCCCACTAAAGCACGGTTTGGGGAAGACAAGATGTATGCATGCCTTAGCCCATTTCTGGAGAGGTGGTTTTAAATTGAAACATCTTGAGTGCCATAGTTTTTACCAAAACAATTTTAAATAAAAAAAAAAGAAAAAGAAAATCTCGAACATCCTGTACAAGGTATGAATAAAAATAACTAATTCCAACAGTATGCCAACCAAAAATTCATAAAAACAAGCATGAGCCTACACCAAGTTACAAGTGTCTTCAATAACAGCCCATTTAGTTAAGGTCAGCTACATCTCATCCAGCCTCAAAGCACTACAAACGTGCAGTTCCAGCATGAAGGCCTGAGCTTGAAGTTCACAACGTTCAAAAGTTCTTTCTAAACAAGATCCAGTTCCCTCTCAATTAGATTCATTTCAACATTAACAAGTTCAGGTGCACCTACATTTTTTTCCATATATGCAATTTCTAACAAATTTCTTCTTGTAATTTTGGTCACTTATGCAGAAATTTCTTATGTTCAATAGGCAGCAGAGACTATGCCAAAGCTCCAGATTTATTGGATGCCAAAACATGTGACGATGTGAGAAAGAAACTATATGAAAGAAACACAAGTTCAAATTAGTGAACATAAGGTTCAGTTTGAATAAAACATACTTGCTTATCCTTGGTCAGGAAGTATGAGAAAAGAGACAATAGTATAACAATGAGCCATCATTCAATGATGATACAAAGACGATTCAATATCCTAACGATTACTTGTTCTAATATATTTTCTTGATAAGAAACACCACTGCATTGATGAAGAAACGTGAAAATGACTGATGACGTCATAAAGGGACATCCATGGCCATGCCCAATAAACAAAATGAAGTCTCCCTTTCAAATGAAATTTGAGATTCATCACAGATTGTGTCTGATAGCATAAAACCACAAAGCCATTGATTTAATGACAAGAATAAACCTCACTCATAATGAAAACAACTTAGAAACCACCCCTTCCTATTTATATATTTTAGGATAATTAATTACTTATATGTAATAAATTAGTTAAAATGAATATTGTATTCACAACCACAATGCGAGAATAAATGGTTCATGCACCGAATACCAATGAGAAATAGTCAATGAGAATGGCCTTTATTACTCTCTCTAAATCCCGCCCAAGTCTAGTCACATGAAGGCACTTTCATTGGCAATGGCATTCTTGTGTCATTTCTTCAAATAACTTTCAAACCAAAATTGAGTCAATTGAAACTTATACTTTCACTCATTAACATTTTCAGATTCCATATTTGAAAATGGTACAGTTTTGCAAGATAACATGACTCAGACTTCATAGCTCTATATCACCACCTAACCCGACTCAGACTTCATAGCTCTATCTCACCACCCAACCCAAGATGTGAGGAAACAAGCAGCCGGTACCTAACAAAAAAATCTCCCTAGTCATAGCCAAACACCAACAATTCTAGCCAATCCCATCTACTTTGAATAAAGCTTCATCAACAGTTCTAAGGCGTCTCCAATCCTTATCTCAAACCCATATCAAATTTCAGTAAAAATCACTCAAAACACCCTCCACTGCTTAACCCAATCAAGGGAGACAAAGCTTTTACTCAAATTTGTGCTAAAATCAAATTTTTTCCACTGAATTGTTTCATATCAAATACTCAAATTTAATTTAAATTTTGAATAAGGACTAGAAATGGCCTAAAAGGTCAAATTTTTTTGCCTCTCACACATTCCCAAATTTCATTCACAATGAAAACAAAATTAAAACTACAACAAATTGATACAAACATACATATATATATATACACACAAATTTATGCAGAGTGGGTTTTCTTTACATCATCTTGATACTTTTTGGGGGGGGGGGGGAGAACCTTGAGGGCAGGGTAGAAACGGTTGCGTTGGCGGAGGATCTTGAGGGAGTGACCGACCTCCCATTTGAAGACTCTCTTCTTGCTCTTCAGGAATTGATTCAATTGTTGTCTCACGCTGACCTCTGAGCTACCATCTTTGAAGAGCCTCTTGTACAGTGCTTCCTCCAAGTACTTCTTCGACCTCTTCGCCACACTCTTCGTCTCTCGAAATTGCTGCATAAACGCCATTTTTGCTCTTCGATCTCACTCTTCACTACCTTTCTCTCTCTCTGGAAATCGATCCGAAAACCCTAGTTTGTGGGTGCAACTTGCAAGACAGTGACGATTGGGGATTGGGGAAATGTTTTGCTGGGGTTTAGGGAGGGAGCATCAGGTACGGCTGCAGAGCATGAGAAGAAGCGTGGTCGTGGTCTATTTTAGTGCCATGTGTTACTAGTGTTGACATTGAAGCTTTTGCTTTACTTGGGCTCGGTGATTTATGCAATGTTTGGAAGATTTGTAATTTGGGTTTTTTTGTCAACAAAATAATTATACCAAATAATATTTAAAAACTATTGTTAAATAATTAGATAAACTCGAAATTATTTTTGAGAATTACTCCACTAGTCATACTCCTTTAGATAAATCTCTTATTATTTTTCCTAATATTAGAAAGCGATTAAGCTTAGTTACTCAAGATAATACTACAGTTGAAGTCATTGAAAAATTATTTAATAAAATGTCTACATCTACTACAAGCAAAGGAACTATTGTCCTAACACAACAACCTCTACTAGAATTCCCTAATTATTCTGATACGTAGTCATTCTGATACGTCTAGCGATAATGAAATCACTAAGTTAACACAACAATTTCAACCTTCTCATCTTAATAGAATCACATCCTAAAGTTAACTCTTCCACTCTTACCAAAAATTGGTACACTAAACCTACACCTCCCGATCTTCAATTTGAAGAAACTAATATTAGCAATCAATTTTCTATTTCTGCTAAAAAATTATATGAGTGGAATATCGATGGTCTTAGTGAACATCAAATTTTCTAAAAACTCAATCATTTATCCATGGTTGCAAACAGTTACCTTACTAATTATCCTGATTATACTCAATCTGAAATTGTTATTTTAATTACTACTGGATTTACTAGAATACTTAAATTTTGGTAGGATAAATATTTTACTTCTGATCAACGAGAATCTATTCAATATGCTGTTCAAATAGATGATAATGATTTTCTTATCTTTGACGAAGAAATAGGATCTAGTATCCCTAATGGTATTAATACTTTAATATATATCATAGTCAAACATTTTATAGGCACACCAACCTATATTCATTCTCGTATTCATGATCAACTTAGTAATCTCACTTGCCCTACTCTAAATGATTTTAGATGGTATAAAGATGTTTTTACTTCCAGAGTAATACTTAGAGAAGATTGTTTTAGAAAGAAAAATCTATTAATGGATTACCCAATTTTTTTGCTCATAAAATCAGAGATGTCCTTAGCCAACCTACTTGTAACGAGTTGAATCAAATAGAATTTATACTTTAATCTCAGTTGGAGATTTATTTTAAATTATTAAACTCTATTTATTTTGGACCCAATTGATTGAATTGTGACTCGTTAGTAACCATGTAATAGTGTTGTGGTTTTATTATTATTATTTAATTACCATAAAAGAGTTGTGAATATTTATGGTGTATACCATTAAACGAAATATATTTTGTGGTGATAAAATATTATATTTACTTTTATTATTAAAGATGTTGAAATGTATTTTTAATTGATATATATATATATATATAGGTGCATATATATAGTTAGATATTTGTCTAGACAATATCTATAAAAGTGACCAAATGGAATTTTTGTCAAACTTTGGGAGTTCTTGCCATGAGAAGAAGAGAAAAAGGGTTCCAATGTTAGTTTTTCGTGGATTTGATCTAGTGTAAGTCATTTTTGACCTCTAATGCTTTGGATTAAAACGTAGAAGACGAAAAAGGCGTCGTTTGGCTCCAAGCAGATTTAATTTATGTTGTCGAAAAATTTGAAAGCTTCTTGGCTTGAGGTAGGGATTTTTCCTACACTTCTTTATGTACTTTTACTTGATTATATGGAGCTTAGAGTTGTATATAATTTAATTAGAATTTTTGAAAAATTTGTGATTTATTTGCTTAAAAGGGAAATTTTGAGAAAAATAAAGAGTTGATGCCCAAATTGTGAAAGTGTAAACTTGGAATATGTTTGTAAGGTTATGAACGAGTTATGTTTTAAATTTGAACAAAAACGAACTTCGATTCGATTGGTTTTGAAATTTTTATCGACTTGAGACCAAAGGAGCATTTTTAAAGAAAACAAAGGAATTATGTTTAACTTTTGGGACTTTTGACCAAAATAAGATGTTATAGTTGAATAATACTTGAAAAATGAGTTTGGAAAGAAAATGATGTTTTCTTGGGCATTAACGGTGTTATTTTGCTTAATGTATCTGTTAGAATAAAACCGACACGGTTAGAAATGGACTTTGAGAGGTTACCGGACGTGATTGTGATATGAAAACTAGTATAGTTGTTCATATTTGATGAGATGTGGAATAGATTGTATTTATCAGAATTTTTGAAATTTAATTGTTTAAATATCTGTTTAGAAATATCTGTTTTGGGCTATCGGTGGAGGACAGCTATGATTGTTGTACAAATGCATAAGACTTAGGTAAATTGAACCACATTCATCATTTGTTGCATTGGACATTGTATTACATTTATTTCATTAGAAATGTATCTGTTTTAAGAAATGTTTGGAAATGTATCTGTTAGCGAAAAGATGAATACTTGGTGAATCTAGGTAGAGGGTGTAGAACCGCACGGTTAGGTGTCGAGCTTTCCAGTTTACTGGTAAAAATGACAGTAGTAGTGCATTAGGGTCTACTTGTAGACACTCACCCAAAGATTCACAAAGCCTGTATTCACGTAACAGATATGGTTTAAAATGAAAATGGTTTTATATCTGTTGTTGCATCTCAGCATTGCATGCTTTATAAAAAAAGAGATAAATTGTTTTATCATGAGCATGACATGAGCATACTCCTCTTTAGTCTTGCCATGGTCTATATATTGTGTAGTATATCTCTACTGGGTTGTAACTCACCCTATAAGGGAAACCATTTCAAATACAAGTGATACAGGTGATATGCCTCCGCCAAGGCACTGACATGGGATGACTCGGAGCTGAGGCTTCATTTTTGTTTTTATTGCTATTTGTTGAATGTAAGCCCAGGGTTGTATTTGTGTTGAGTTGAAACTCCATTTTGTGTAACCAAGAATGTTCTTGGATAAATTTGTAAGAGAATGTTCTTGGATAAATTTGTAAGCCTGTAGAGCACTTATTATCTGTTTGGCTTCCATTTCATACTTGTTGTAAAATGCATGCTTGGGATTGGAACCGGGGCATTGAGATATGAACAGCATGTATTTGGCATTTGGGATTAAATGGAAATGTATGTGTGGAATAGTTAGCTATATATATGTTTGTCTATCAGGTGGGTTTGTTGTATAAATAGATATACCCTGCCCAATTTTCGAGGCGTTACACTACTGGCATTATAGAATATGATAATTTAACTTATGGTGACATAATTAGCACAATTCAAAAGGAAGGTCTAAAAATGTGCATTGATATGAAATTTAGTCAAAAAGCTGCTAAAGATAAACACAAAGCTAAATATGAATTAAGAAATTTTTATGAACAATATGGTTTACCTCCACTAGCCCCTTCTCGTCGAAAAACTAGTAAAAACAAAAAATCTTCTTACAGATATTCTAATAAGGGTAAAAAGAAATATTCTCCTTCTAAATCCACTGATAAATACTATACTAAACCTAAAAAGAAATATCATAAAAAATCTACTAAGAAAGAGTCAAAGTCTACTTTAGGTGTTACTTGTTATAATTGTGATAAAAAGGGTCATTATTCCAATAAATGTAAATTAAAAGGCAAAATTAAAGCTAAACTTAATCAATTACAAATTACTGATGAACATTAACGTCAAATATTAAACATATTTAAATTAACCACTTCTCCAAGTCAATCTCCTGATCAATCTAGTAATTCATCTGACAATGATATTTCCCCTAGTGATACTTCTACCTATTATTCTCCTGCTGATACTACTGACAATGAAATTGAATTAGGATGTACTGATACCTGCTGTAAAACAGTCAATGTTCTTAGAAAATCTCAACAATAGGAAACCGCTCTCATTAAATTAATTAGTAAATTAGAAAATCCTGAATTAAAACGACAATATATTAATAAGTTGAAATCTTTATTAATTAATAAAGATAAGAAACCTAAGCATGATAAACAAATCATTAGTTTAAATAAAACTTTGGACCGATTTAAAAAAGAAAAACATAAAGAAGTCATTTTACAAGATTTACAAAATGAAATTAATCATATTAAACTAATTATTCAGGAATTAAAAAGTAAAGACAAAACCTTAGAAGATGATATTACTCTATTAAAAAACAACAAAAGTCTTAATGATTTCCAACAATCCAATAAATCACCCTTTGGATTAGAAAGTGAATCTAACTCTGAACCAGATCCAAACAAAGTCATCTTTGATAATAGAACTACTCCACACAATAATGATCGTGATAATAATCACCTTAATATAATTAATCAAATTAATATTCAAAAATAGCATTCAAAAGTCAAATTAGTTATTAGTGATTTGAAAGTCGAAGTTATTGCATTAATTGATACTAGAGCTGATTTGAATTGTATCCAAGAATGATTAATCCCTACAAAAATTACCATAAATCTACTGAATAATTAAGTTATGCTAATGGCGGTCAAATGCATATTAAATATAAATTACCAAAAGTACACATTTGTCAAAATAATATTTGTTTTAAAATATCTTTTGTGTTAGTTAGAAACATGACTGATAAAGTCATTTTAGGTACTCTATTTATCTTTTTATTATATCCTTTCACTACTACTCCTAAAGAAATAACTACACAAGCTTTTGGTCATACTCTAACTTTTAAATTTCTATCTCCACCTAAGATCAAAGAATTAAATCAATTAAAAGAATGTTCAATTTCTCAATCTATTAATCGATTAACCAAACAACTTAAATTTCTCAAAGAAGAAGTAAATTACAAACGAATTGAAACTCAATTAACTAATCCAATTCTTATATCCAAAATTGATGGATTTAAAAATCAATTAACAAAACATGTTGTAACACTCTCTTATATCAAAAATTTTAATGAAAAACAAATTCCTACCAAATCTCGACTTATCCAAATGAACCATGAATTAATGGAAATGTGCAAAAAAGAGATTAATGAATTATTAAAAAATAGTATTAT